ATTACTTCTACTAAGATTCAAAAACAATTCTTGTGGGGATATGGTAAGGGAGTTGTAAATTGGCTCGAGTAAATTAGAAAAGAGTATGTAAGTCAAAAAATGAGGGAAGCCTAGGAATCAAAGACTACTGGAGAAGTGGGAATGGAAGCTAATGATTGAAAATAAATTTTTATGCAATAGGATTTTAGTGGCAAAGTATGGAAAATGGAAGCCACAAGGTAAGGAACAAGAAGCTAATTCTTTAAAAAGAGGTCAACATGGTGGAGGGACCTAGACAACATTGAAAATACAAATATGAGGAATAAATGTTGGCTTAGAAAATCGATCACCAGAAAAATAGGGAATGAGAATGAGGCACTTTTCTAGTTAGATAATTGAGCTAGAGAAAATAATTTGAAAACAAACTTTCATAGATTATTCTTTATCCCAATATTGGAGGAGGAAGGAAAAGGTGGCTATCAACGGTTGTTGGAGAGATGAAGTACAGGAGTGGAACTTCAAATGGCACATATAGAGCTGTTGTAATGGGAAAAAAATTTACAAAATGGATCGCTTAATGTTCTTAATCATGCAGTGTTAGTATGGCTCTACCACAAAATATAATAGACCATTTTTTGTTGAATCCAGGATTGACACATTATATTGAAAGAAATTAATTCATGGAATGCTGGAAGCTTATGTTGTTTTGCATCATATGGTCTATTTGGTTGCATATGGAAGCCAAATGTGTTTCAGTTTTGCACAATTGAATTCAGAGAAGATAATTGATGCACTGCAAAAAATTAAACGTGTATCCTTATCAAATAGTCTGAAAGATATCGTCTCTATAAGGAATATACTAATATTAACAATAACAATCTAAACAAAAATTAATTTAAATTGAGTAAGGGAGAAATAAAAAAGGTTCAATATGATCACTTAAGGACTAACTCCTTGAATTCGCGTATTTCACAAAGTTGCACAAAATGTCGTCTCGTATGTTTGGACACCATAGGCAACTCAACAAAGGTATTAATTAATAAACTTGGATTACCTAGCTATATTAGTGCGGGTGAATAGGGAAGTTCTGGCCTTAAATAAGGTGTGTCACAATGCTCAGTACCATCAACTTTGGACATAGAATAATTTCCCATGACAAGTCTTTTGTTTATTGCCCATATCTCTTCAAAGAATGAACCAAAAGATATCAAAATAAAGAAGATTGTTTCACTAAAAATACAATTAAGTAAACTTAGAAATAAATAAAATTAGAAGTCCCCATTACTATTCTAAACAAAAAAAAAATTCCCTAATATAGACAAAGTTGTTCTAACTGGATATTGTCTTTGATCTACCGGAATCAATAAATCAATTCTCAACAACGACACCAGAAATTTGATGGGATTTCAACAAGTGTATAAAGCGTAATAAATTTTAAAATGGTAAAAACTAAATATTATTCTGAAGGACAAAAGGTTAACAAATTAAATATAAAAATTAGAATAGCAAAGTAAAATCTGAATAAAAGGCTAAAACACTAACTTTGTTTTTCTGTTTTTAATTAGCGAAATCCTGAAAGAGATGGAGCCAAAGTTTTGGCTCACACGGAAAAGTACATACCTTTTGTATAATTTTTAAAAACAGCTCCTCGAAGAATTTTCAAATATGCTAAAAAATCGTAGGATAATAATAAATCGACTGACATGATTTTGTCAAAAAGATGCCATACATGATGGCATCGTTCCGAAAAACACGGTTGGTGTTTTTCCAAATCGATTTTGCACAGTTAATTTTGGTGTCCTTATTTTTATTTTTCACAAATTTAGTGTATGTTATTGTTTAGGTTAGCCTTGGCTTGTCCTCTAATGTACTGTACAAAAACATTTCTTTTGTTATTTCTTGGATGAAGTGCATTGGATTTTTCATTAATTATCAATTGAATATCCAAACATATCCTTACTCTTCAATTATTTTAATTGACATATAATATTTTTAAAAAAAATATTAAATATGTTCTATTGTACAACTACGTCAGCAATATATACTAACATGACATTAATTTTACTGCAGTGTTGCTGTTATGTTAATATATTTTCATTCAACATTGCATATCAAGTTAATAAATGGTATGATATCATGCAGATAACACCAAACATGCACGTTTAAGCACTATTGAATGGGATATATTATTAGGATGTCCCTAATTCTCTTTTTTTTTTTTTTTTTTACTTTTTAAAGAAGTGAATAGCACTTGTCCTGAATTGCGTTGCTGGTTTCAAGTTTCAACTTGTGATGAATTATATCATTAGTGTCTCCACTAAAATTATTCTGAATGGTGTGTTTGCCTTGATAGTTGATCCCATCTTTTACCTTGAATAACTTTTCCTTTTTGTTAGGGAGTGTGGCAATGGTTGATAAGTGTGATACGATCAAGATAGCAAACATGGTATCAACTTATCTTATATAATTTGATGCTGACGAAGTCCTTCATTGCTATGCTTAATATCTAAAAACTGCAATTGTTTGAATTATGAATCTCCTACACTATTTGCTGATATTTCTGGTTTCAGAACCATAAATTTGATATGTCTAGAATTTATTTTGCTGAAAAATGTTCGATCTCATGAATTCAAGAATGACAAAGTCAGATTCTTGGTGTTGATAATCAGGGAAGCATTGGGAACACTTGGGGTGTGTGATACAAAGACTGGACATACTTTAAGGATTTTGAGAGTATTGTGGACAGAGGCTCAAAGAATGGAAGGAATATTTTTGTACCCTCATTAATTAATTGTAGCCTTTGTGTCATCCCTTCATACCACATGTCTTTTTATCTTCTTGCCAAGAGAATAAGCGATTTCCTGGATAGGGTTAATAGAAACTTCCTCTAGAAGAGACCAAATGATTCCCATGATCTTTCCTTGGATTAATCAGGCCCCTACTTGCCATACATCAAGATTGGATAGAATGTCCTTAACCTTAACCGAGAGAGGTGCTTTAGCTAGGGTACAAGTCAATGCATATGAGCCTCATTCAAATTGGGTAATTGGTATTTAACATTTTATGTCTTTCTCTTTTGTTTTCCATTTTTCTAATTGTAAAAATTATAATTATGATAATAAAATTTGAATTTAAGATCATGTATAGGTTGATTTTAGCCGTTCATCATTCGATCTAGTTGAATTTAGTTTAAAAAATACTTATCGGAGGCTCTTTATCTTATGGGGTACATCATACATGTTATATAAAATATTAACAAAGATAAGATGGCTAATGTTGAATAACATTTAATAAAAACAAACCTTCACCTGGGACTTTAGTTAATGTTTTGAGGTTTGTGTTTTTGGTTGAGAGATGAATGATAAGTAGTGCTTTGGCTTGGGCTACTGAAGTGGCCCAATTTTATTTCTCATTGTTTTTGAGTTTGATCTCACAAGTTCTTACTTGGGCTACCCCTCGTTAGATTGGATGAGTCATTTAATACATCTGTAGGCTTGAAACAAAAACAGGGTATGCATACCACCACTTCTGATTGGGATTTGGGTTTTTTGATGTTTCATATATATACTAGCCAAATTATTGTAATATGTTTCTTTTTTATACATAAAACGATTAAAAATGATCTTTTTAATTTGGAATTATAGCATATTTGGGAGAACGTTTATGAAACTCGTTCAAACATGCAAAAAAAAATGATTTAGTGAAAAATAAACACATTTGGTTATAATAAAATGAAATGGAATTTGTACTTAAAATTTCATTTGACTAAAAGGTAAAAAAATATATTTTTACATTAAATTAAGAAATTTACACTGAATTTTTTTATAAACTTATTTTTAAATAAAAAAAATATAAAATATTTTAATTATTTGAAAAATTTTAAGTAGGTTTCTAAATTTATTTTGTTTTTTTTAATATAAAAAAGAAGTAAGTCCTTATAATTAATTTTTATCGACTTAAAACAGTCTTAAAATAATATATTTAATAGAAATAAATCAAATTATATTAATCTAACTTTTACAACAATCACATTCAATAGTTGTATATAAAAATTAAATTTTGTCAATTCAATCGTTGAATTATAATTTTATATTATCTTGAATATTTATGTTAAATGTTATTAAAATTTAATAACAATAAGAAGATAATTAATTTATTATATTAATTAGTATATTTTGAAGAGTATATATTACATTGATTTTAATTTAAATAAATAAGATATCAAATAATTTTAAATTAATATAAAATTATACACATACATCTATATATATATATATATATATGTATATATAATTTATGTGAAAGGAATGTTCAATCTAGTGGTGAGTTTTGAGAAAATATCATTTATTTGGATTAACTGGTGTAATAATTGATAAAATATTATAATTAATATAATTTGATCCCATTTATGATAGTTTTAAAAATATTATGAACTCAATTACATATAGGGATGAGTATGATTCAATCCAACCCATTAACTTGTTCGAATCCAAGGTTAATTTGGACTAGTTTTAATTTTGAAATTAGACTTGATATATTTTTAAGATGAATTTAGATTACATTTTGGATTGTCCAACTCGATTTGATATATAATATCCTCTTTTAAAATATAAGATTACTTGAATTATTGTATATAAATATTAAAAATTTAGTAATAACTTTATAACATAATATTATATTTATAATATAATTATTTATTTTAAAATATATATTATAAATTATACTTTAATTTAAAGTTTGTATTTATTTTATTTTATAATTTAACTCTACATGATGTTAAAATTATATAGTATAAAAAAAGTCTAATTAACCAGACATTTCATATATTTTCTGGTTTTAATCCGATCGAATTTCAACTTTAACAAAAAAATAGATTTAGAAAAATTTTTGGATCATGTTTAAATAAGAATAAGCTCAACCGAATTCGATGACGATCACCCATACCCCTAATTAAATATATAACCGTTGATCTTAGAATGCACAAAAAGCCACCTCTTAACATAGCTTTTACATGGTTTCAAATGAAAAAACACGAGTTACAGGTGACTCACCTACCTACCACCTTTCAAACTTGAAACCATGCAATCCACAAAACTTAGTTTTTGCGCTTAACATTATATATCATTCCTATACCCTTTTCCTCATGCTTTGAGCTTAGTGTCCCTCTCTCTTTAGCCATGCCATATATGACACTGCGTCAAGGATTCTCCATTGGGTTCCTCCTTCTTGCTCTCTACTGTGCGTTAGACCCCTTCGAGCACAGCCCCATTGCGGGGTTCCCTGAGTTTGAGGTGCACAAAGTCGACATGCCCGCGTGGTCTGAGGTTCCTAAGGACCGAGACAAAGAGAACTCATTGCAGAAATCAGAGATTTTGTTTGTGAACCAAGTGCAAGGACCAGAGAGCATTGCCTTTGATCCTCTTGGTCGTGGCCCTTACACTGGTGTTGCAGATGGGAGGATTTTGTTTTGGAATGGACACTCTTGGTCTGATTTTGCATACACCTCCCCCAATAGGTCACATTCCTCCCTTTGCAAACTCAACTACTTACATACTAATACCGCAATACGCTGTATTATATATAGACTATTTGGATATTTAGATATAAGTTGCAAGTGTTTTTAACTGTTCTTTTCTCTCTAAACACAGGTCAGAAGCACTATGTAGTCCTAAGGCATCTGCATCTGCATCTGCTCTGAGTTATGTCGAAACTGAGCACATATGTGGAAGGCCTTTGGGACTCAGATTTGACAAGAAAAGTGGTGATTTATACATTGCAGATGCATATTTTGGGTTGATGAAGGTGGGGCCTCAAGGTGGTTTAGCAACATCTATTACAACTGAGGCCGAAGGGGTGCCGCTGAGATTTACTAATGATGTTGACGTTGATACGGAGGGGAACCTTTATTTTACAGATAGCAGCACTAATTATCAGAGGAAGTAAGCTTACCTTAACGCCATTGATCTTTTACATGTTGATACAACACATTTTGAAATTTCTCATCATTTTGAATATATATGAGAAGTACTAAAATGAAGCCTTGGATGCCACATTTACTTTGGAATGTTAAGCACCCTTCTTTTGCTGTGCTATATAGTCTTAGAATGAAAGGAATTGTATATTAATATCCATTAAGAATAATGTTACTGCCATAATTTTTCACAACACTTTGTTATTGGACCTTTTTTTATTTCTCTCTCCCCACACATTTCTCTCTTTTCTCTTATCTCTTTCTTTTTTGCAAAAAAATTTGTGAACTGTACGTTATAATAGTATTACTCGTGCATTAATATGAATTGATTGGAGACTGCCACATAGGTAGCTCAAATAAATCCAGTACTACAGTTAGTTTATGTGGTTTTTTTTTTTTTTTTCCAAAACCCATGCAGCTAATATGGTACGTTTTTTTTTCTGTTTTCCACAACTCTACCTTAGGCTGCCTGAATATATATATATATATATATAATGCTGCAATTACATTTTCTCCATCTTCGGAAGATGCTCCAATGCTGAAGGATTCGATAAGTAGGATTAATAATTGAAATTTATGTCATTTCCTTGATAACTATCTGATACTGAAGAAGAATAATAAGGCAGATAAACATCATTCCGCAATTTGTGAACAATTGAGGGATATGTATGCAGGGGAAGATCATAACCTTGAGAAGGTATCTAAAGTGCATATATATATATATATATATATATATATATATATATA